TCTTAGCAAGTAGGTCCTTATTACACAAAGTATTCATGTAAAAATAAAAAGGAGGTTACTGCTCAGCAAACGAGCGACAGTCCCGCATCCTCATATGTTTTTTATATACAATAAGTGTGACAAGCGAGCACACAGTTCACCTAATGGTAAATGGGTGGTGTGGTCCATAGACATCTATCCTCGATTAAGAATAAAAAAGTGCATATGCGTTGTCACCCCTGAGGACTAAGATGTAATGCCTTTCAGTAAAAAGGATCTAAAGTCCTCTACAATCCATATGTAACACAGCATTGAGCTGCATTTCACGCTGGTATTCTGTTAGAGCATGTTTTTTATCTTATTTTTCATCATCTGTCTTTAATCTCTCAAATGAAACATTAAATTATCATATTCACACTTTTATTGCTTTGTAGAGAAGACTGTTAATATAAAAAAAAATATATGTACTATACAGATAAGAACGATTAGCTGCACAAACAAACACTGCATAAATTTTTGACACTAACGTTTTCGTATCGTCGTCGACTAAAAATTGCATGGAAATATGAAAAGCACCCCTGGCGGACGTAAATGGCACTAAATTTTGTAATACAAAGAGTCTCAATTACGATACGAATTCGACACTATAGTAAATTCACGCTCAGGGGACACTGTCGCATGAAAACATATTTTTGTACGTGTGAGTTGACTTTATTTTTACATTCAAATAAAAATCAAAAATAAACAAGCAAGCAATTACAGTGCTTAAAAGCAACATATTCACAGCTTTACATAAACACATATTTTGTAATTATAATCCTAAAATAACAAAGCACTTTAAATTATAACGTCAAAATAACAACTGGCGCTAACAGTGTGGTTTTACGTATTAGGTTAGGTATTTTTAAAGAATATAACCATTTCTTTGAATTAAATTAAATTATAATTAAAAAGGTTAAATTATACTATAAAAAAAACACTATTTACTTCCAATGCAACTAAGCTCAAAACGCCTGTCCTTTTTTTTTTTTCAAAAAACGTTACCCCTACACTAAGATTTTCTCTTGTATCGTGGGGGCAGTTTACAAACATAAATTGCACAAGGACAAACATCCAGACCCGGAACAACTATATGTAGGCCATACAAATACTTGTTCCGTATATATGGCGTATATATGGCTCATTGCTAAGCCACTGCGCCACGGAGTCGTCAATCGGAGTCGGAGCCTTTGGAAATGTACTAGGTTTGTCGAATGGATTCGAACCTGCGACTTGGGTCTTCGTGGTAAATTCCATTTTATTTTCCTCCATTATTAATTGAAATAACATTAGAAAATTCCACTCACAAAAATACACATTTATAATATGTACTAAAATATAAAACATTTCCTTTTTGTGAGTTTTTTTTTATTTTTCATCAGTAAGGACTAATGATTTTCCGCTCACCAGGTGTCGTCACATTGGAGTGAGGTGAAGTTATTTTTATACACAATGCCATTAAATTTAAAAGTTAATTGTAAGTAAAAGTTTTTCAGTTTCAAACATTAATACACAAACCTCATTGGTTTCCTCTTTAATTTTTTGAATATTTTTACTAGTTTTTAATACTTTTAGGAACACTCGTAGTTTAGTTTATTCATTTGTAAACTAATTAATATAAAATATAACTAATATTATAGAAAAAAAAAAACAAACCCTTACATTATTAGACGGGCCGAATATTCGTATTCGGCCAAATATTCGGCTAAATCACCGAACATTCGTTAAAGTGGTACTCAAGGTGTCCACTGTATTGAAATCTACGAATTGAGTAATGCCATGTTTTTCATAATTTTTCTGTTGAAAGTATATTTTATTTATGGGTTAAATCTACTTGCATAGTGTTATGTGATAACACAACGAAATACTTTTTATCTCACAAAAATAGACAAAACATAAGCATGTGCCGACAATTTGCTCAGTACTAGATGATGCAATAACATGTCAGGTGTGAAGGAGCTAGGGGAGCAGGGTCCGGCGCTAATATAATAACAAGTGTCGACATAAAGTGGTCAGGTCCCGAGATGATCCTGCCGAATAATGTTCGTTAGAATATTAGGTTCGGTAAAAATTATACCGAAATTTCGGCCGAATATTCGTATCCAGTTAAATCCATATTCGGCCCATCTCTATACATTATTCTAACAAATTAACTTCCCCGTTATGAGATCTGACAAATATTTCACCTCGTTCCAAAGTGGCGCCAGATGGCAGAAAAAGTCGTGGATGCTCTCATTTTTGCTTGTAAAACGTCGACGTTGGTTGATGAACATTTCATTTTGCATAATAAAACTCTTCAAAATAATTATGCATTTATTTTCAAATCCCCTCTCTCTCTCCCTTCTTATAATTAGTAAATATTCTACATAAGACTAATTATACAACGTATTTCTTAATTACAAAGGCAGTCAACGTGCACATTTTTATCTGAAACAATGCAAAGTAAAAATTTAATTAAAATACAATCCCCCATCAATAGCCTACGCACACTTTCCTGCAGGTCACAGGCCTCTACATAGAATACTATAATACATACATAATAGAATGGGGGTGTGGGCGGAACCCGTGCCCCCACTAAAATGTCACGAACACGTCAATTCACACGTATAAATGTCAACACGAAATGTGTTTTGACGTTAGAGTCGTGTCCAAATTTCGCATACAAATTATTTAGAAAATGCCAAACTGCACGCTATTTACAAATATGTATTAAAATCCGTCTGTCAACACAGCGAATCGGGTTTGTAGTAGTTATAATACGACGTAATTGCTTGTATGGCTCCCGCGATGTCGAACCTCGTACAAAATAAGGTTGACAGCCATTTTATTGTGTATTATAGTATTCTATGGACCTCTCCCATAATAGGTCTTCATATTTTGTAGGTAGCCTGCCTACATTTGTCTTACCCATAGATTAATCATATTATTATAAAACATTTACAAATCTATTTCAACTTTATAAAACTATTATATTTGTAAAAGACATTTTATTCTACATAATATATAACACTTCATATTATATAGACGCCCAAGTTTTCAATTTTAATGTAATAAATAATTCAAAAGAATATTTTCTTTTGAGTTGAGTAAAGAATCATGTCGTCTTGACTTGAAAATTTCCTGAAAATTATAAAATTGCATATTTTTTTCTTATTTCGTATCGCATAATTGAATTTTCAAATACAGCCAGGAAAAAAGTTATGTTACTGCGTTTATCATTCTTAATAGACTTTTGGAGACAAAACGTGTTTTACAATGACTCAAAGGCCCAGAAGCCATGCCAAAATATATTAAAAACGTGTTTTACACGTGGATTGTTATGAATGGAATGATAATTCTATTTGATATAATTATTTTTTTTATTTATTCAATTTGTTAATTTTTCTGTTTATTTTAACAGTGGAATGTAATATTGATCATATTTACAATAAAAAATTGCCCAAAAAGGTAACCGAGATAATAAGAAACACTGTTTACTTTTTTTTCACTCGACCCCGCCATATCCTTCTAACCTAACCTGTCCAAGTCGGGATGCCCCAACTCGATCTTACACTCAATATAACATCAAAATATTAACTTTTATAGTTATTTCTATTTTCTTGAGCGTTTATGATAACATTTAAAGTCAGAAAACCATATAAAAGCTTTAAGTGAGATAAAAAATTATTAAACAAACATTTTTCAATGTTTTTTAAATGTTCGTTGTTTTGTGTAGATTAAGAAAAAATATATATCTTCGTTTAATGCTTTGCAAAAAAGTTATAAACGATTATATTCGAAGAAGTGCGTTTATGATCACATTTAAAGTCATAAAACCATATGAAATCTTCAGGTGATATATTTTCCGTATTTTTTTTTCATAAACCCGCTATAAAAACGAAGATTTTTTTTAAATTCATCGAAATCGGATGATTTTTGGATTTTCAAGGGCCAAAAAACGAGGAGACCGCGGAAGTATAAAATTACAATTAATAATCACTTCTGCATCGAAAAATGCAGGGATTACGGAATTGACAAATTTAGCTATTTTTTACTACAGAATTAAATTGGGTGTAGGTATAATTACTTATTTTAACTTGTTGGATAATATGGAATGTACTTATGTATCGAAAAACCCCGGGATTTTGGAATCAACAAGTTTACTGTTTTTATTATAGAATGCCTATAAAATAATAATGTGTATAAAAAATGAGAAATAATAACTTCGTCTTAATTTTTTTTAATTAACATCCACTATCTACTATTCCTCTTACACATAACATACTCGTAAATTGAAGGGGAGCTTAAAATTAACTTCAAGTAAACACACATTAATAATTATGTAATCACCCTTTTTTTTAACAAACCACATGCTATAGACGACGTTTTCTCACCATGATACAAACTATTTTCGCGTTCCCGTATCTTCTGAAATCCCGGGATTTATATTTAAAATAAATATTGTTACGCGCTCAAGTCGACGATACACTAGCGCCATCTAGTGTCAGGAACTAGAGCGAGGGGAGCATTGAGAAAATGACATCACAAATCACTCAACCGACAGCGCCATCCGAAGAACTAAGTTTCTAGAAAATCTATACTCGCACACTCGTCCCTTTGCGCGCATTTACTTGAATATTCCGGATGCTTCTTTGCCAATTTAAATAAATAGGCGCTGCAAGATGCGATCGAGGCAGTTTGAAGTGGCGAAACAAGCGAAGCTTCGGAGCGGAATAAAGTGAATTAGTGTATTTAATTATTAGTGTTTTAAGTTTTAATTTGTGTAACGTAAATTAAAGTGTTAATTTAGGTAATTTTATCGGCAATTTTTATTGTCACGAACCTCAAGCTCATAACAATATGTTATAAGAAGACGTTTCCATAATTTCTTAGCCAAAAATTAATTTTAGGTTAATATGCATCCGATTATCCGTATATAAGAAAGTTTGGATTTTTTATCTCTACTTACTACAGCTAGAGATGAGCAAGATATGTACCGGGGTCTAGTCGCGGCGCTTTTTCCCGTGTGCATCGTGCCTGTCGTGGTGGTCCCTCTTGCGACCGGTCTTGTCGGCCCGCTTGGCCTCGCTCAAGAATCGGTCCAGACCGAACGGATCGAAGTCGGCCTCGGCATCGCCGCCTCGAGAAGCCTGCAAAATGAACCAATCTGTTAGATGTGACAGTAACACTGAGCTCAGTAGCACTCAAGCGCTATTGATCATCATGTGATCCTAGGTGCGGATCCCGGATTGGGCCGAAAACAGTTATTGGATTTATCTGTCGAGAAATTCTCAATCTGTTGCTACAGAAACTTGAAACCTCCAAAGTTGGCAGTGTATCCCCCCCCCCATGCCTTGGAAATAATGGTGGGTCAGGATTGTGCCAAATCGAAGTCTGTAGTAACCGCGTAACTCTCTGGATGACAAGCATGAGAGTAAGTATGTATCATGCATTTATCTAAATATAAAATTTAGAGCCCTTAATGCTTTCTTATATTTACGCGAACACTTTTACATACTTTTACACATTTAAACAATACTAGTTTTTACGGATTTTATCGCGTATTAAAAAGTTAAGTAACTTTTTAAATATCCGACGTTTCGAACACTTTACAGCACCCATGGTCACCATGTACCGGACCGTGGTAAACTCCGTAAAAACTAGTATTATTTAGAGCCCTTTCTGAGAAACCAATTACATGAATGTAAATGTACATGTATACAATTATTTAAGTATAACGATTATAGTCACCGACCACACAAGGAATATTTCTTTTTTTTAAGCCACTTGACCAATTTACATGGTAGAGCCATGCTGCAGCTATATTAGCAGTATAATTGTACCACGAATGGGTCGGCTCGACCGTGGAAGGATCACACTTTCACAGAATACCAGCGTAAAATAGCGGCTTAACAGTGCTGTGTTGTGTACGGTGAGCGTAGGAAACCGGAGACCCTTTTTCTTAGAAATGAGAATTTGTAATCGAAGATAGATGTAGATGTCTTTTGATTGTCTGTGTGCTTGTTTGTCACCCTTGTCCAATTAAAAAAAAATCAGTATATGCATGGGACTCCCAAGAATCTCTCAGCCTCAATAAAACCTAGAATATGAATCCTCATTGAATGGCTTATCGTTTTACCACATAACCACAAACAGAAACTGACGCAAGCTGACGCAAGCTATGTAGACATAACTAAAGACCAGCTAACTAAGCTTCAGAGACTTCTAAATACTAGTATTCGGTTCATATTTGGATTGCGCAAATTTGACCACATTTCCCAATTTCGCTCACGTCTCAAGTGGTTACCTATCCAATTTCGCTGGAACATGCATATTCTTTCTATTCTGTACTGTGTCTTATTTCACCCTTCTACTCCTCCTTATCTTAAGGAGAAATTTAGTTTTGTTGGGCTTCCAGGGGAACCTTTACGCTCTTCAAGAAAACTCTTTTTAAGGGTACCAACTCACAATACATCTTTCTTTAATAAATCTTTTACTGTACAGACTATTAAGCTCTGGAATGCCCTACCTTTGTATTTACGCGAAGCTCAGACTATTGTAGTCTTTAAGCGACTTCTTAAAGAGCATTACTTGTCTCAATCATTCGAAAATCATTAGGATAAATTATGTGATTATGTAGTTTTGTATTTATTTGTTTATGTTATTGTTAGTGGTATATATTTGAGGATATATGTATGTACATATGTGGATATATATATATATATATATATATATATATATATATATATGTATATATATATATATGTGTGTGTGTGTATGTTTATGTATATACGTATGTATATGTGTATCATTTTTTTTAATTTATTAGTTATTTATATGTTATTTTATTGCATGTATTGATATTATATTAGGTATATTTATATTGCACCACCTACCTAGTACTCACTGTTTTATTCCTTGACACCTTTGGTTGCCTGGAAGAGATTGCTATGTAGCGATAAGGCCGCCAAATTGTACATGTAATCTGCTCTCTGTTATGTTCTTTGTAAATTCGTTTGTGGTGTGCTATAAAGTATATTCATTCATTCATTCATTCAGAAAGGAAATACTTACCTATTCTATTCTTAAAACATTAACTGAAGGAACTTCACCAATATCCTAAGGTCAAAAACCCTTTTATACATGAATTAAATACATGATTATTCAGGCAAGGGAACACAATATTGGTGCGTACAAGGGTACTATGTTAAGGGACTGTGTTCGCGGAAGTGAAAATATACGAAAGAATCAAAACAAAAACTAACAGGCTCTTCTCTAGAAGGCGGTGCATCCTTCTCAAACTGTACGGGTCCTGAACGTGTGTTGGTGCTACTCGTGCCAGCAAACTCCTTGTCTGCTACAAACCTGTAAGGTCAACAAAGTCTGATAAATACATAACCTAGTGTCATTCTATCAGACAAAAAGAAAAAGCCTATATCATATATCTAGTGTGTAATATGCAATCATCCATTGCAATCTATAAGTTTCTCCCTCATACATTGCCTCATAGGGAGATTTTGCTTTAGTTGGCACGCTTGGCAAGCGGGTTGGCAACCGAAAGTTTTTGATGCTGCTGCCAATCTCCTGTTACATTTTCCGACGGTCATCTTTTACGACACCCTTATGGGGTAGTAGATATTTTTTAAGTTGTAGAGCCACGCTACAGTTATACTATAGTGTAATCAAATACCATATAGTATTGCTTATTTCGTAAGTGTAAGCCCAACTCCATCTAATTACCATCATTGTACCTATCTTAAAAAAAGCATGAATGGGTCAGCTTGACCGGGGCAGGACAACGCTCTCACAGAATACCAGCGTAATGAACCGGAGACTCTTTTTACTGGAATCGAGGCATTCCATCTTAGTCTTCAGGGGTGTGACAGCGCAACTGCATTTTGATTCTTAATCGAGGATAAATGTAGATGTCTATGGGCCACAGTATCCACTTACTATCAGGTGGACTGTGTGCTCGTTTGTCACCCAATGTTATAAAAAAATATACTTACACTGCCACTACACGGTTATACGAGTATACAGTAGGGGCACACTATGTAGTATAGTATGGTTATACCTCAGAGCTAATGTTGGTTAATATAGTGCATAGCGCCATATTATAGCGCGCTATCTCTTCATAACACATAGCCTGTACTATGTAACTAGTCGCCATGACGTTATTGCGCTATGGCGCTTGGGCGCTATTAAGTATTAATTTTTAATATCTAGCAGCAACTAGTTCTAGCAGCAGCGCTGTTGGGAGAGGACGTGTGACGCAAATTTCATGTAGTAGCACGCTATTCATCGCGCGCGACCTAATTTAGTGTTAGACGTTGTTTAGTTAGTGTATACTGTATATTTATAAGTGATCGAAGGACACAGTTGTCTGCTATAAAAGAAGCCTAACAAATGTTTTTAAATGTAAACAATATATAGATACAAAAGTGTATATAATAGTGTATGTAAGTAATTGATTTTTATAAATACAATCAATAAACATTTAAATACAGTTATTTGATTTATAATTTATATTAAGATTAAAATAACGTTTCATCAATCTCAATTATAATATCAATTATAATAAAAAATGAATTATTTTATTTCGTTTTAAAAAGTCCATGCCTTAAAAATATTTTTAGGATTATAGAAAGTTGTAAACCTGAAAGTATGAAAAAGCGTTCATTGGTTTTTCTTTACAGCTTTATTTTATTTTAATCTAAAATGCGACTTATTACGAAGCAATGTTCTTATATAGCACGCGGTCTATCCAATGAACGACATGTAATGTACCGTGCTACGACATATAACGTGCTACACAACTTAACGCGCTTGCCGGTCTCCCACACGCTTTCTTATAAATAGCGCGCAATAACATAGCGTATTATATAGCGCAATATATAGCGCGCTAGGAATTTATAGTTTATAGTCTGTAGCGTGCTATTGATTTGTAGCTGTTTTGAACAACTTTACCCAGAGCCATCACGGGTTATTATTATCCTCTGATCCACTTCTAAACATGGATTGTCTCATAGGGAAGATTTTGTAGTGTACTTAGAAGGCAGGCTGGCAGCTGCAGTTTTTGTTATTTCCAGTTCTTATCGGGGTTGTTATGATTGAATATGCTGCTGCCCATATTCTGTTGTTGTTCTTGCATCGCCACTACACGTGGCCACTATTTCCTACTATTATATTCTTAACAAAATAACTGTAAAAACATAAAATATAAAGCAACTTTGCAATTCACTTAAGACCAATTCCGCCCCCCCTCCCTCCATTTTCGCAAGTATCTTAAAAAATTGGTCTAAAATTATAATATTCCTACGAGTATAATGATCTAAACATCAAAATATGTGTGCATTCAGATTATCACCATTTTCAAATGTAAATAGTGTACGTTATTTTTTAGTCAAAGTATTCAAAAAGAACCCCCTATTGCTATACCAACATAATCAACACAGCTTATGTGGTAGGGCAATAATAATTCTATCGCAAATATGTAAGTAGTCATGTACAATCAGATGAATACGACTTAGGGACTTTCAAGAAAAGAGCGTACTCCCTTCTAAAAGTCCAGCAATGCACCTACAATTCTACTGTTGTTGCAGTTGATCATGGGCGGCGATAGTCACTTACCATCAGGTGAGCCGCATGCTCATTTGTCTCCACTTCTATAAAAAAAATCAAAGTTAAATAAAAATGTTAAAAATCAGATTTACAAACCTCCTAGTGTTAGCAATGGCATCAATATCGCCACCATAGTTGTCTTTGTCGGCGTTCCTGGTGGGCCTGTAGATGTGCGCGCCCACTGAATCCTGGTTTCGCCACGGCTTGTCATAAACGTTGTACGCTTCATCGTCCCCATAGCCTGGAAAACGTTATACTAATGATGCCGCAATATTTGTCTTTCATAATATATTAATATATAACGGATTAATAAACTGAAGTGGCAATGGGCCGACCACACAGCTCAAAGAACGGATAACAGATGGGGAAAAAAGGTTCTCGAGTGGCAGCCTCATACCAGCAGGCGAAGTGTAGGGTGTCCCCCTATTAGATGGAATGAGGTCCTCGACCATGCTTGGGGGGGGGGGCTGTGTTCAGCAGTGGACTTGTGAAGGGCTGTAAAGTTGATGATGACCACGGCGCTATTCCGTCAAAATTCAAGCGGTCGGATTCGACCACCCGCAGTACTAGTATAAGTCGCGACCTCCGGAGCTTACAGGTTAAACTTATATTTAGAGACTACTTTTCTATGAAGAAGGTTGGCATTATAGAATCAATATGAAATTTTCTATCCTCTAGTGCAATATAAAATCAAGTTATTCTATGGATATTTATTTATATATTTATTTATAATCTACATTCACATCGTACGCCATTTTCGCGTGAATGTTATTGTGTTGATTTTAGATTTTTCTAGTGTTTTAGTATAGTGTTTTATTATAAAATTGTAAGGAAAGTTTTTGTGTGAATATAATTTATCTTTTTACGTAAATAATTTCGAGTAATATACACTCACCGGCACGGAAACTTGGCCAAGCAGTTATCTCGCGATAGCAAAAGCTTTAAGTGTTTCTGATGAATGTTTGTTATGCAAGTATGTGAAAAAATGTTTACCCTCAAGTTCAAGAGGGTAATTCATTATGTTTAAGTGCACCATGACGAATTCTTTAATTTTTAGTTGAATTGGGTCATTTGAGTGACTAAGTTCACATTTTAAATTTGTGTGTTGTGAAAAGTTTACTGTAAGGTTATTCAATTATTGTGATCTTGTGTCTTAATTAAATAACTAAAGGTGCTTTAAAGCCAATAAAAATGCCATTAACACCAGCACAAGTTGCACAAGCAGTAGCATTAATTGACCAAGGGCTGACATAGCGTGAAGTTGCTATTGTGCTTAACGTACCACGGTCCTCAATGCAGTATTCACTGAAACGATACCAGGAGACAGGCCGCTACACCCGCAGGCCAGGCAGTGGGGGCGTAAGGTGCACATCGGCCCGGGACGATCGTTTTATTGTTATGGAGATTTTGAGAAACCGCTACCTGACCGCTGTTGAGATACGCCAGCGGCACCAAATCGCAAGAGGCGTTAATGTTAGTGAGCGTACGTTGAGAAGACGAATGGAGGAAGTGAATTTAAAAGCTCGTAGACCAGCACGAGGTCCAGAACTTCTCAGACAGCACCGAGTAGCCCGACTTCAGTTCGCAAGAGAACATGTCAATTGGACCCACGAGCAATGGGCTAGAGTGTTGTTCACAGATGAGTGTCGAATAGCTTTACGTGCTCCAGACGGTCGAGAACGAGTGTGGAGAAAAAGAGGAGAGAGGTTTCTACCCATTACCACCACCCAAACTGTGAGTTTCCATGGAGGCTCAATAATGGTATGGGGAGGTGTAAGTTCCGACGCACGTACAGAGTTGGTCATCATCGATAATCGGCTTACAGCTACTCGATACATCGAGGAAGTTCTTCAGGAGCACGTAATGCCTTATTCGGGATTCATTGGACACAACCAATTCCTCCTCATGCACGATAATGCACGCCCGCACGTCGCACATTGTGTAGAGGAATATCTGGAAGAGGTTGGAATACAAAAATTACAGTGGCCAGCTCGTAGCCCGGACTTAAATCCAATTGAGCATGTATGGGGTATGCTCAAAAGAAAGATAAAGTCCAGCTCCAAACCGCCACAAACTCTAAATGAGCTCCGAAATGCAGCGCTGGCCGCTTGGGACAGCATACCGCAAGTTGATGTCAGAAACATCATTCAAAGCATGCCAGATCGAATGCAAGCGGTTATCAGGGCTAGAGGAGGAAACACCCGATATTAAAACTGATAGACAATAAAGAAACAGACTTAATTTTTAACTTTGTAGTGTTTTTAAAGTGACAATGGAAAGATGTTAATTTTAGTGAAAACATGTTATCTTGAAAAGAAAAATTTCGGTGAAGTAAACATTAAATTTCTATGTTCTAAAACCAATAGAGACACTTATTGAATGCATCTACCCTTAATTTACTGTTAAAAAAACGTTTCAGTGCAAATAATCAGCAAATTCATGAGTGGCCAAGTTTCCGTGCTGGTGAGTGTATATTGAAATATGTTTGATTTTCACGCTGCCGACATTCGCTTGGTATGTTTTGTTTTTGTTATCAAAATACAATAGTCTTTTAATATAATAGCCAAACTTCTTTATAGAAAAGTAGTCTGTAAATATAAGTTTTAATGGTTTTAACTGCTGCGGGTGGGTGCGGTCGCATGCGACCGCTAGGGATTTGCTGGGCGCAAGCGACCGCTAGGGATTTGCTGGGTGCATGCGACTGCATGGAATTTTTCTTGGGAGTTAAAATAAATTTATGAAAAAATAGATACATTCTAAAATTACTAACCAAGTACTAATGCCATTACAGACCTACCAGCAAATGAATTTAAGAAACACAATAGGTTGTGTTTGTTAAATTTGTAACATGTAACATTGTTTTCGAAAAAAAATTAAGATTGGTCTAATTCTGGAGGAAGAAACAGGTGAATCATGATTTTGTCTATTTTATAAAGGTATAAGCTTGGTCATTCGGGCACAGCGCGACAGTAGTAGATAGCTAAATACCAATTCTTAAAATGTCTTGCAGCCCAGATAATCTCTTAATAATATCACCTTATTTCTAACTCACCACTATCCATTCCCTTGCTGTTGTTAAACAACCGCTGATCGAACATGCCCTCGCCACTCTGGTTTGTTTTCGCCGGCATGCCCAAAGCTATCTGTTCGGATATATCGCGCTCTCTGTCCTTCACCAGTTTCGACCTAGAAAGAAATAAAACATTTATAAATGCTGAAGTGAAAGAACATAAGGAAGTATAAAATACCCGTACTCTAAATATTCGTACTATTTCTCTAATGAAGAAATCTTTGGTACAGTAGTGATCAAAATTCCACTTCGAGTCTCATATGTTGATTTTGGTGGAATACATTTTCGCACACAGTATATGGCCAAAACACTGGCTACCTTTCCTTAGTTATACTTAGCCTTTGAACGAGAATTGAAACAGCCCTCTTATCACCAGCAGCGCAGACAAATTAATACTGGATACATTTCCTTATTTCCTTTAGGAACTTCAACGCACGTGGACCCTACGGTCCGATAGTTTCTACAGCAAATGGCACAAACATTCAGAATATAATTAACCCACAAGTAACATCCACATTCTTAGAAAAGGAAAAATGCAGAAATAATTCGGTTTTTACGGAATTAAAAAAAAGGGAAAAGCAGAATTAAATTTAGTCGATTATGTAAAGGAATGTCATCAATTCTATTCTAAGATAGCACTAATGCGTAAGTGTCTACTTCATGGCTCCAGTCATATATGATAAAATACCTAAAAGTTGGAAAAAATTGCCGCTATCGATATTTAAAAAAAGGCTTCAAAGCTTCTTGATAGTCAAAGCATACACTATAGCGTAACAGAATTCTTGACTGATATAAAATTTTCTTTTGAGATTACCGACTGTATGATGTTAAGAATCTGAATTATATTTGGTTCTGTGTTGTTATTTTAATTTGTTATAGTGTAGGAGATTAGTTTATAATTCTGTATTTTTTGCATGCCTTCTGATAAAATATGGCTAAACCTATATTACCATGTATTGTACCCACATTTGCAAAAGAAAATATCTTTTATCTTTTTGTCTTTATCTTTATGAAATAATAGCGGAATCAGGAACGCACTATCTAAATAGCCTAAATTAACTAACAACAACTTGGAAGAAACATCTTATTTTGAGACACAAGCAAAATCTTCCCACAATTGTATATGTCAAAAAGGACTTCCCCCAAGGAAGTCTTTGAAATACGCAAACAGTTACAACCAAAAGTGGAAGCAGAAAGAGAAAATGGAAACATAGTGTTTATAAAATACGACAAGCTCATTGTGAAAAAGCAGAGATCTTCAACCACGAAAAAAGGAAGAGAGAGATTTCAGGATTGCCAACCACTCCATCCCAAAAAAACAAGATAAATGCCGAGAAAGTAAAGACACCCATAAGTTCAACAAAGGAAGTAATTAAACCAAGCATCTTTACATATGTAGCACGCAAAAAATCTGCCTCGATATCACAGCTGTCAAAAAACAAGTAAGGACCTTTTCCAACCGGAACCAACATACAAAAACAACAAAAAATATAACCGCAAGAAAAAATAAAGTAAATTGGCCCCCAAGCCGGCCACTCACCATGGGGGAAGCCGACCACCTCTGAATAAACACTACTTCCTTCCTGGCCGGATTACTTTTGCCTAATATTCGGCTATTCGCCCAGGAAGCCCGCAGAATATTCAGTATTCAGCGTGTGGCCGAATATACTATTTGTTGCAAGTCCAAACCCAAAAAATCTACCAACTAAACCCAATACAAAAAAAGGGTTACAAAAACGAAGTAGTCTATACCTATGTATGTACATTAAACACATCCCTTGAGAACACCGGAAAGTTAGCAAAAGATAGAGTTAGCTATTAAAAACATCAAGTGGGAAACTGGGCATAAGCGAGATGCAAAGATCAGGGAAAGGAGTAGAAGAGAGGCCACTTTATTATATACCACAAAGGCGAAGTTGCTGGACAAGGAAGAGTAGAATTTTTGGTATAGTTAAACCATAAAAGCCAGATAATTGGGTTACAGGGAGTATCAGATAGAATAGCGGCAATTCGTATAAACTTAAAAAGCATCCGAAAAAATGGACAATCATCCAAGTGTACTCGCCAACAGAACAAGCAACAAAAACAGACATAGATAATTTATACGACAAATTTAGCACAATTACTGAAAAATATTTGGAAAACAATATAGCACTCATGGGTAACTACAATGCTCAAGTTGGGGCCCGATCAGGTGGGGAAGAACACATATTAGGGAAATACGGAAGTGGCAAAACAAGCAAAAATGGAGAAAAATTGGTAGAATTTCTGCTTAAGAAAAACTTAACACTTCTAGTTTTGTTCTAAACTGTTCTGCAAAAAACCGAAAAACAAATGTACTTGGATGTCTCCAGATGGAAAGACTAGAAACGGAATCGACTACACAATAACAAACAAAGTTAGGTCATTTAGTGATACGTGAATAGTACAAAATCTAAACTTCAATATTAACCACCGTATAATACGCAGCTGTCTCAATGAGTGGTACAAAAAACCTGGACTAAAAGTAGCTCAAATGAACTACTTATAAACAATTCGTAAAAAGAGGAACCCAAACGACACCACAGAAGTCTTAATGGAAGTAGTTGCCTAAGATATAGACCTTAAGGAAAAGTATAAACAAATGATAAGCAAGCTCAAAGAACAAGCAAGAATACAAATAAACAAGAGTCAAAAACCTATCTATTATAAATATATAAATTTCCAGCTACAACATGTAATATGTAAATTATTTAGGCTTTATTATTATTATTGACTAATATACAAGTGATTGTTATTACAGATATCAAATAGCTTATGTTAGTACATAACTAATCATAACAGATCTAAAATTTCCTTTGTTTTATGTTATGATTATCGGCCACTGAAGGCTATGAGTATTTATCCAGAATTTATGTATTGCACTTATAATGATTTAGAATCATACATTTTCATATTACCTTCATAAAATGGATACAGTTTATTGGTACTAGCCTTTTATCTGGAGCAGCACGAGCCAGATTCCTCTCTCGTTGCCGCTCTTTGTGTCTCTCGGCTCGAAGCCTGTCACGTTCAGCCTTTTCCATATCGGTAAGTCCTTCTTCTGATTCAGGTACCTCTGTTTCTTCATCAGCTGGTCTAATTCCTGCACAAATAGTAAATGACATTTTTAAAATATTACAGGATAGCTTTCAATTGACCCTTAAAATTAGGAACCATTTATTTTTTTTACAGATGTGGGAAACAAGCTCACTTGGTGGTAAGTGTCGACCATCACCTAAGAACAATTGTCACACCAGTTTTATACACAGTGCTAGCTGATATCCGCTCTCTTCACACGATAATAGACGATAATAACGAAATTTTTTATGGGTCTACCGTAAAGTCCGTTTTTAGTGAGCTACATTGCAGAATGAGTAAGTATACTACATTTCAAGTGAATCGGGTGTATAGTTTTAGAAATATTGTGATGAGTCAGTCAGTCAGTCAGGCAGTGGTATTTCACTTATATACATAGATAATATTGTCAAATTTACCTGCTCTATGATCTCGAGCCCTTTGCGCCAGCATTCTCAAATGCTCCTCCTTCTTTTCTTTCTCTCTTTGCGCTAATCTCCTTTCCAATTGTGCTCTGGCTTCTACAGCTTCTCTTGCTTTCCGATCTGCTATATACAGTGCTTCGGCTAATTTTGAAAAGTTCTCATTGATATGAACCTGTTGGAGACCACGGCCATCTGCTGCTAAGCGCTTATCCAAGGGTATTGTGTAACCTGTAAAGAACAACAGTTTTATAGGTGGCTACAGAATTTATTACTATCATCACATATATTTAATGTCCTGCAGACCGAATTTCGGTCACGGCGGCCAGTCTCAACGGAGACTAGCCATCGGCGCAGGACAGGATTATTGTGCCCAAGTGTATTCGCAAGCACAGGTGCACTCTCTATTCCCCCACTGTGATAACCTGATGAGACGGTAAATCGACACGATTGGGGAGAGATTAGGCGCAGGACCAACAGCTTTACGTGCTTACCAAGGCACGGGGGTAAGACACCGCCAACTTCCTGACTCCGGGCAACTACAGAGAATTTCTTGACGAAAAAACTCAATTATTGAATTTTTGACCCGACCCGAGATTCAAACTCATCACCTCATGACCCGCAGTCTCACTACTACAACCACTATACCAATGAGGGAGTCACACACATATATTCATTTTATGTTTAACACATAAAATTAATATATGTGTCAACATACTGCAGCTATATATGGTTGTAGCAGTGTGTTTCATATGGTGAGTATAGAGAAACATACACCCTTTTATGGAAAACGAGTCATTCCATTTTAATCCTCAGGCGTGACAATGCATCTGTATTTTGATTCTTAATAGAGGATAGATGTAGATGTCTGTGAGCTACAGCTTCCACTTACCATCAGGTGGCCTGTGTGCTCATTTGTATTATTGCTCCTTACATATAAAAAAAAGTCCAGGATTCTATCATTATTTTCCTCCCTTCCTAGAAAGTGTAACATTAATATGTTATTATTATTATACAGGCTGTTAGTGTAAACACCGTTATCCTTGAAACCAGTGGTTTAGTTTCAATTATAGAACCTAAATTCAATGAATTTAAAAAAAAAACTCTATTTTCTTTCATAAAATTTAAAAAGTTTCTGTCTGACATCATCCGTAAATTCATGGATACCCTATGTGTCCAAGTGACGTAATCACTGTAAAGATCACCTCCCGCGCTAGCTATCTACACAACATTCCAATAAAAATACAATAGGTACACATAACCTGTGATGTAACTTTTCCTTCATACTTTCATCCTGGCTTAGGGCAGGCAAAAATGAGGTAAAATTTTTTTTTATTATTTTTCATTGAATTTACGTTCTATAAGTGAAACCAAACCACTGGTTTCAAGGATAACAGTGTTTACACTAACACCCTGTATAATAAGTGTAACATAAAGATATTAATTAAAATAGGGTTTTAAAATTCTTTGAGCATGCACAAGCAGAAATGGTAATATTTGTGCAATGCATGTGTGAATAAGTAAATTGGTATTTGCATACCTTTAGCATTTTTCCAGTGCGAGACACAAGGCGGTACTTTCCAATCACGTTGTTGTTTAACGGAGACCCTGCGTGGAGGGGAGTGCAGCACTGGCGCCGGAGGCGAAGGTGCCGCTCGTGGGATTTTCTTGTTGATTTGGAAACGTGGGGGCTCCATCGGGTCTGTTTGTGCTTCCACCATCCTAATTATGGAGAAATGTCAAATACTGAAATTATCAACAAGGCACAAGAATAGATATACTAGACATAAGAAATGTGAACTTTACAGTGCCACATGTCAAGTTATACTTAATATTTATATATTTGGTATAGAATGAAACGACAGTTGAAAATATGACAAGGATCATGGCCTTTCATAGTGTTAATATATATATACAGTTGACTCGCGGTAATAGTAAATGATGAATGCCTGCTAGGCCGCAACCACAGTCACATTTAAACTGAGACAATTGTGCGAACTAATTGCAACCTGTTTGTCCACATATTCACGAAGGACACCTCCCCACGTTGCAGATTTATAACGAGACTCGATTGTACCTACATGTTAAGGGCATGTCAGATTACTAGGGGATGCGAATTAGCCAGGAGCGAGAATACCGGGGGCCACTGTTAGAATATAGAGAGGATGGTTTTACATATAATGGGAATTACATGACTTAATTTCTCTCCCTCCTTTCCATAATTGGAGAACCAGATAATTAGTAAGTCTTGACCCATGTTGAAAACATATCATGTCCTCCAATAAAATGGTTGCTTCATTGTTCGTAACATGTACGGCAAAGTAGTTGAATAATCTGTTATGTGTCTTTTTTGCATCACATCTTTCCACGAAATTACAATGTCCATGTCATACCAAAGGCAATAGTGAATAGGCTTTTGTTAAGCTATGTCAGTGTGCATTATTAACATCTTTGGCTTCGGCATTAATGGTAAGTGCGATGTATCCACTTACACACTAGATGTGATAAAGTTGACCACTTGCTTATAGTGTGTAAAAAACCAAACTAGCAAAATAATTGTTTAATGATTTTATGAGGGCTCAGAAAAGACCAACCCCTAATGGAGGCTAAGAATTTGCCGCGCGATGTCACTAGTTGACACTGAGATCAAGTTTATTATTACACAATGTCATTTAATTGAGAAGTTAGTTTTAAATAAAAGTTTATCAGTTTCTAGAGTACTAATACACAAAACAATGCCTCGGTAGTTTGCTCTTTAATTAATTGCACATTTTTAACTCTTTTTTAAATTGATATAAGAACATGAGAAACTAAGTATTTTATTACTTACACGAGCTTACAGAATAAAGTTTATAACGACCTTCTTATTTGAAAATTTGTTCTTTCAAGAAGATTTAAAAAATATTAATAACTTTCAGCTACAGTGGTGGAACACACCCTTGGAATAAATCAGGAGGCGCAAATGAACCATCTATGGAAGATTGCCTGATAGAAGTAGTAGTTTTGGTTTTTTTTTGTTTTTAATAATGTTTTTTTATCTGCTGCATCTACTATTGATAGATTGAATCTCCATTTTCATTCATCTATCGCAATGTACCCTAAAATCCGATCCATAAATCTCGCTTAGTTAGCTTCAATCTTCCCACGCTATCTATCTATCTATCCATAATCTTTCCACAATTTTTAATCTAAAACTGAATAAAGAAATTTCATTGATTTTTTTTAAATCTTTTATTTTTAAGCTATACAATTTAGAAGCTCAACCCAGGGGTAGGTTATGACACAACGTCTCACCAATAATACCTTAAAACTTGAAAATTTTTAACCAGTGCGACTGACCGTAGCAAGAACCTTGATATCCCTTACAGAAAGAGCTACGATAAGAGATTCTCTGCTCGAAATGATGATATCTGTTTCAGAACAAAATAACTGACATAGCCCAATGAATCAGTAAGCTGAAGTCACAATGGGGCGCCCATGTAGCTAATATAGCGGCTGCCTCGTATCTTTATGAATATTTGTGGTTTTGTTTATTTTTAATGTAAATAATTAATAGTACAGAAAAAAAACATCAACTTATACATTTTTCAAACAAATTTTTAAGTGGCGTCGCTGTGGTGGCAAAAAAGTAGAGAGTAGAGTCATTGATTCATAATGATTTTTTACTCATATTTTAAAAAAAGCTGCTGCAAAATGTCATGTTTTATACACATTTTTCTAACCTTTCATTTGTTTATCCTATCCATTGTTCTATCCAATTTCAGAAATTTTTAATGAAGTTTATGAGTTAATTAGAAGAAACTAGTATAGTTAAAGACCACTTGTAGTATGACATGTAGTTATGAAATTGTTACCTCTCTCCCCGCATTCGTCGAGTATATTAGTACTAAGCAGGGACAATTTTGAGAAACCAACATACATTCAACGTTAGACGTCTCAGCAGTCACCGGCCAGGTCAGCCGCAAGCACTTGAACTGTTTGGTTATGATTATTATTTTTCATAAGACAAATATAAAAATGTGACTACATCTTATCTCATTAGTTGGCCATTTCTGCAAAATACTCATTTAAATAGCAATTTAGTGTCATTTTTTATAGAGCCAATTATTATGATTATCATTTCTGTTTTCACACACTCCTTGTCTGTAAGTTCAATTTTAACAGAATGATTTTTTACCCAAAAATTACATTTAAGTAGATTTCTGGTTAAAAATACTGCAACATAACCGTAAGGTCGATTTTGTATAATATAGAATATTATACAAAAGTTTTACATAAGAATTATCAAGTAGAAATATTTAGCTCTACTAAATGCTTCACCAGCTTAATCGATCTTTTAGTAACTTGCATTCCATAAAAAAGATTAAATATTGTCTATTCACATTTTAACAAATTGATAAGTATTTTTTCATTTGTAATAAATGCATATAAACAACAAACCTTATGACTCTTTGCTTAGCGCCAGAATTGAAGGTACCTCCTTGTTGAGCTGGTGTATATCTGATGTACTGAGCTGGCGCCTGTAATGTTTACACACTATCAACAGACTTGGTGTTTAAGCTGCATGTATTCTAATTTGAAACACTAAATACATCATCATCATTGCAGTCTATCACAATTATACACATAAAGCACAGTGGAGCACTGACAACCATCAACTTCCTCCTTGTTTTACAAGGCACCTGGTGATTTACAATTGTTATTGCTAAGTGTTATTCCATGATATGTTGAAACATTATATGTGGTAGAGCCATGCTGCAGTTATATTAGTAGTATAGTTGTAGCATGAATGGGTCCGCTCGCCCGGGGAAGGACCACACTCTCACAGAATACCAGCGTAAAATAGTAAATTAATGCTGCTGTGTTTCATATGGTGAGTGTAGAGAACCGGAGACCCTTTCTTCTGGAAACGAGGCATTCCATCTTGGTCCTATTGGGTGACAATGCATATGCATTTTTATTCGTAATCGAGGATAGATGTAGATGTCTATGGGCCACAGCAACCACTTACCATTGGGTGGACTGTGTGCTTTCTATCTAGTCTTATCCAGAACCAGAAAAAAAAAAAAAAAAAAAAAAAAATTCATTTGTCACCCTATCCTATAAAAAAAGTAAATCTTATTTCTGAAAAGGTTTTGGAGGTAGAAAGAGTTCACTGTTACATCTACTTGTGTCATCAATCAATTTTAAAAGTATTATCCTAATTTTTTTTATAAAATTATAGTAATAAACTTACAGTTAATTACTGATACTGCAGTGCATGGAGGTGTCCAACTTCAAACAAAGTAAGCTACAGATGAGTTATCATTTCTGAGGGCTATGATGAAAGCTTTTACAGTCTGTAATTAAACTTGCTTGACTCCCAGAAAGAAAAGGAGGACCCTCAAGTGAAAACCTATATATAACTTTAACATCTTGTTTTATATGTCCATGGGAAGGTAAGTGACTATTGTACTATGTAAGCCATGGATATCTGTAATCAACTTCAAACAAAAAAGAAGGCTACAGAATGTTTGATACCCCTGAAGGCTACTTCTGGGGTGCCAAAATTTCAGATAGAATACCTCACCAGTCTGTAATTAAACTGGCTCTCTATACACTTCAGACTGGAACACAACCATGCATATATTGCTGCTTGGTGGCAGAAAAAGGTGAGAGGGTGGTGGTCCCCGCCCAGACACTCTTAGGCAGAAAAGAACTCCTACCACCTATGTAGTACAGTCACATATGTTTGTGATTATCACCTTTTTTATTAGTTGTAATAATTAACTTACTGCCTTTGGAGCAGCTTTCACTGGCAGGGCAGCAGATATTTTGGCATTTGTCAATTTCTCTAAAGCTTGCTTTGTTTTTTCTGTAATATCCTGTATATCATCTTCATTTGGCTTCTGGAGACTAGGGTCATCTTCTGCCAAAACCTCCGATGGCAGTAAGTCTGTCAGTTTAGAATAGATTATCTGAAAAAAAAAAAGATGCAATATAAATATCTATTTATACTTCAACTAAGCAGTTACTCTACGAAGACATAATTTCACAGCTTTGTGACACAGTTCGAATCCTGCATGGAACAAGAATTTGTATTGCTTAAAAATAATAATTGTTACAAGTCTGGATATTTGAGAAATTTATTTATGTAAACTGCCCCCACGATACAGGAGAAATTCTTAGTGTGCAGGTCATGTTTTTAAAAATAATAAAAATGAGATAATAATGTTTAAGTTAAAATATGCTATTCCATGTAATCATGTAGAGCACACAGTCCACCTGATCATAAGTGGATTTAGGATCACAATACCAGAGGTCTTATACCTCCAAAGCTGCCGTCTATTATTGGTCTTTTTTTTACAATTTGGTATGTTTAGTTTGATTTTAATAATGGTAGACATTGACACCTAACCTAATCATGTAATGGTGGTATAAGAATATCCTCAACCCCATATCAGGCTGTAGAGGTTGTATGAGGCCACAGAGAGAAATTGAACCAGGAGATGGGCAGCAGCATCTTCCTGATAATGGCTTGATAGAAAACAACTGCTGTTCCCAACCTGCTTGCCAAGTGTGGCAACTATGGCAAATATTCCCCTATGAGGTAATCTATGGGGGAGGCCTAAGTAATGAAGATGTTGATAAAAAGGTAAATCTTTCCCTTAATTTTATTTATACAAACCTTATCAGCACTATGACCTTGTCGAGCTATAGCAGAGTATTTAACACGTCCAGACTCATCCAACTGTACTGCTAATGCATTGGAAGTGCTTTCTTTTCCACGTGCACCCATACCCAGAGGGTATTGTGCCACATGGATTTCTGGGAATGCACCTCCATCTACAAAATAAGGTAATGTAATAAGTGAGTGACATCAACAACAAAAAGCCATTCTTTAAAAATGAACTCAAAAAGTTGTTTAATAATTAAAAGATTTGAATTTTATTAATAAAATTACCCCCAAAATCTTCTTCTGCTCGCGGCACCCATCCTTTTCTTTGACCATACGGAGGCACGCTGGTCTGAGATACAACAAGGGCACTACCAACGCGCTGCCCTTTTCGTTCGTCATCTCGATCCCATACTTGCTGTATAGGAGCAGGTAATAGGCTGTAAATTGTAAGAAATTAATAATTATTATAACAATAATTATTGTACCTACTGTCACGAATTCCCTTTTAATAAACAACTTAATCGCTAAACCTTCAAGATTATAATACACTAACAAAAAATTTCACACCGAATTCACTTGGAAATTCATTCAATCAACAATCATATTATAATCAAGACAAGATTTATTCAATTTATAGAAACACTAATAAAATACAGAAAAAAGACACAACACACCTTGACAACGACGCCATTTTAATGAACCATAGACACTGACACTGTCTGTTGCGTAGACAGAGAAACCGGAGAAACCGTAGACAGAGAACTCTGTCTACGGTTTCTCTGGTTTTGTAATTTCAATTCCATAGACAGAACTTATTTTTTATTAACTGGCTTTACGGCTCTAGGTTCGCCTATCATTTCTTTCGGAATCTTCATTTTTATATATTTTTTCTTCACAATATGCTGATGCGTCACATTGCGAAGTTTTTGGAAGATTTTGACGACAGTTCAAACCAGCGGACAGTTGATGACGAGAGCCACTCAAGTTCATATTGCACCCAAGCAATTAAATTAACTTAAGGTTATATAAAGCACTTGTTCCGTCGTTTTCTATAATAGTTCACACGCGCAGACACTTAATTCAAAAAACCGCATCACATTTACGAATCAAAATCCACTTCAAACCATTATACAAGTGACAAAACAGGAGCGACAATCCGCCGACGGCCAAGTTCCCGCCAAAACTCTCAATAGACAGAAAAGGTATTAGCCTAGGCTAATGAGTATATAATCAAATATTGCATTTTCTGTCCGCGTCTCACACAGACCTAAAATAAGTCTGTGGTACTTGCAGTCTATGGTGATACTATACTCCTATAGACTTAGCAGGAATTACTGAATAAAAACAATAAAAATATAAAGAAATATTAAATTAAACATCATTTAAATTCAGTTATGATTTGTAGAAAATATTTAAATTGAAAAAAGAAAATAGATTTTTAAATTGATAATTTATTGCTCATATTTGCTATATCACAAAATGAAAGGTGGAAGAACTGTCAGATTCGTATATAAATGAGTAGGCTGTGAACGTCCCCCTTTTATAACCTCAAAAATGCGCGAGAAGTATCTCCCAGAGATGGCGAAGTGAGCTTATTTTTACCTTTAATAAGTGTTTAAGTGCACGGATTACCATCATGCCGTCGAAGAAGAGAAAATACAATGCAAGATTTCCCGCGGTAAGCTTAAATTCTTTAGTACTTGCTCAGAAATGCAATATTAGTGTTATTGTTTTCGTTCCTAATCCCAATCGCTTGGTGATATCATGACATTGTTTGGTTGTAGGGCCGAATTAAGAAGATAATGCAAACCGATGAAGAAGTGGGAAAGGTCGCCCAAGCTGTACCAATCATAATCTATATCCTTTTCAAATTAGAGTTTAAGGAATTAATTCAATTTCTAACGATGCGTAGTACGCGCAGCTGTGACTGTTGTTTACTGTTGCTATATGCCTTTTTATTTTCATTTTAAACATAAATATCGTGAAGCTTCAAACTATGTACTGAACACTAGGTTTCAGTTAGATATTTGTCAATATTAAATTATTTTCAGTTGATTTATCACAACTGTTGTTGACTTTACTTTCATTTCTTTCCCTATGGTATACTTAACGTTAACTTTTACTACTGTTACACTGCAACATTTAATAAAACTTCAATTAAGAATGAAGTCTATATTTTACATAATGATAATTGTGTAGTGTTTGTCTTTTTTGTATGTTTTTTTTTAAATATTATTGCCAATACATGGGTGTGGATGCGATGCAGTTTACCTAAATTTAAATTGTTGAAATAAAACTGTTGTGTTGCAAATAGTATTTTAGGACTTACCAAAATAACGCAACATTTTTGAAAATCTGCTTATGAAAACTACGCAATTGAATTTACTTAAAATTATTAGGTGTCCAAATATGCAGCTTATGTGCTGGACTAGAACCATTTTGGTCCATATCATTATATGCTTATAAAATATATAAGGTAAAACTTAACTAATATATGACCACACATATACACCTAGAAATCCTTTTTTCAAATCGTAGAATCCAACTCTAGGGACTTCAAAAAATTGAGATATGTAAATAGTTGAAATTAGAACAACTTTTGAATGTATTACAGCGATTTCTAAATGAGAAGTTAAGAAAATGTATGGTAGTGAAAGTTGGGTGTGGCAGAAGAAGCATGAGAGTAGAATGAACGCAGTAGAAATGCGGTCGTTAAGGAGTATGTTAGGGCTGAATCTGAATGACAGGGTAAGAAATTGTGTAATAAGAGAAGAGTGTGGTTTGCAAGATGATGTTGTGACCAGGATTAAGAAAGGAATGCTTTGGTGGTTTGGTCATGTGCAAAGAATGAATGAGGAAAGAGTGACAAAGAAAATTTATGTTGCAGAATCGAATGGCAGAGTCAGAAAGGGACGTCCTAGGCGAAAATTTATCGACCAAATTGGTGATTTATTGAAAACGGGCCAAATTAGGAGTACCCTTAATCAATGAGCATGTATGCGTAGGTGTATGGATGTGAAGGAGGCGAGAGAGGTGTGTCAGAATTGTGCCAAATGGAAGTCTGTAGTCTCTGCCTACCCCTCTGGGTGACAGGAGTGAGTGTTTATGTATGTAAGTTAAGAAAAGGAATTGATGTCCTGAGAGAATAAATGTAATGTGGCTTTGTTTATCCTGGTTACGGTTTCGATTGAAAAAGAAGGTCTTGCATCATCATTATCATTACAGCAAATCCACTGCTTATCATAGGGCTCCCCTCAAGTAATGCAACTAAGTGTGATCATGACCCCCCAGCATCCATCAATTTCCTGTATCTCTTACGTATTAAATCTTTAGCTTTTATAGAATTGACAAGTAATTATAACGATATTTAGAATACTTTAGTATATATTACTATACAATTAGTTAGTTAAATATTGTCTGTATTGGGTTCATAAACTGACAATTGGTGCCATAAACTGATAAAGTGGACTTTAGTTTGTATGTGCAATGTTCGCATAAATATAAGAACTTTTGTTTTGGACTTTAGTTTGTCACAAATACATATATGGAAACCAATGTATATTATCCTCCTCTCATTCATTTTGTTGATTATGGTTATTTCAAATTTTATAAATCCTATAATGATTAGCATGGGAATAGCAATAATAAGGCACATACATTCTGGTAATTATCTTTATTAATACACAAAAGTAGCTAGTACTGAAAAGTACTGTAATACTGAAAATTACTAGTTCTTAAAAACAGTTGCGGTTCCTATAGTCAAATGGAATATTAAATGTATAAACTGCAAACTGGAAATTTGTGAGTTTAAATCTGCCATTCAACTACTTTATACATGGTGGAGTCACACTGCAGCTGTGTTATGATTGTAGCACGAAGGAGTCTGCTCGAACAGGGAAGGACCACGCTCTCACAGAATAGCAGCTTGATGCTGCTGTGTTGATTGTTGTAGAGAACCAAAGACCCGTTTTACTAGAATTGAAGTATTCCATCTTAGTCCTCAGGAGTGACAACGCATCTGCATTTTGATTCTTAATCGAGGTTAAATGTAGATGTCTATGGGCCACAGCATCCACTTACCATCAGTTGGACTGTGTGCTCGTTCATCACCGTTATTCTATAAAAAAAAATTAAAAAACTACTAGCGTGAATCATTTCTAATTTTTTCATGAAGAAGTGTTCATTGTTGCGAGAATGGCTTACCTCTTACGCGTACCTACATGGCTTCCATTTCCATCTGTGCAATTGACCCCCATTCCGTAATGTGGAGGCCATAAAGCCAGTAAAAACGAATACCCGTAAGCAGTAAGCACCAGTTACAGCCACAGGGGTAGATATAGCATATGGCTCCACCGCTGGCCATGTTTCAGACGCGATAAAGGCGCCTTGTAATACCGAAACTTGGTTCAATTGTTCATAAATTATGGGGATGTTTTTCTGCCTCGTAGCATGCGTTACCCTCAAGTGCCATATAAGGCAATATAGAAAAAAGTTTTTTTTAATTAACATCGAGCGAGGGCCCAGGAAAGCATGTGAACGAAAAGGGCAATAACAAAAGTAGTGAGATAGCAATTAATTTGCTTGTATGAATCGGAAATCTAATGACTCACAGGGCCTCCTAGGCTTTGGAAGGAGGGTATGGTTAAGGGGCCCCAATGAGTATTGGTAGACTACAAATATATTAGATTATAAGATAATTAATAGAATCAGGCATTTCTTTGCGAAAATCCATTATACTAAAGATAGTAATAGTTATTTTGCAACCATCCGCTCAATAAAATAAAATGATGTGTCTTACCTAGTTTGAAGAGCACCTCCCGCCCTCCCTCATTTACGCGCACTAATCCCGTCACCACTTATCCCACCACCCGTCACCACTACTCCCAACACCACTACTCCCAAACTCACTTAGCCGTAAGCTGCCGTAGAGTCTACATCACCTAAAGATGCCCTTGTGTAGAGGCGAAACACGTGTCGTATTGTCGTCGATGGTGTGTATTTCCTAGAGTAGTGGTGTTGTGATTAGCAGTGACGGGATTAGTGCACACAATTGAGGGAAGGCGGGAGGTGCTCGTCGAACTAGGTAAGACACATCCTTTTAATTTATTTTATTGAGCAGATGGTTGCAAAATAACTATTAATATCATTAGTATTAGCTTATAATTTCTGAGACCTTCCAGTAATTTTTTTTTTTAAATCTCAAACATAACTGTTTTCCCTTTACATTTATCATTGAGCATGTGGCTTAATAAGTACTTTAAATTACACTTGACATTTTCTTTCTTACTTATAAAATTTATCATAGTGCGCTTATCTTCTGAACCACCATTTTTTGTACATTCTATCTGATCTTTATAATATCATTACATTGGAACTGTATGGCAGTGATTTTGAATTGTTTACAACAGTCAATGAGGTATCCACGACTTTTACTGCATACTAGGGCGGCGTCATTTAGAAATAAAGTGAAATATTTGTCACTTTATATAGCGGGGGACTGAGATGTGGTCCTTCACTGCTGGCCATATGAGGATGCTCAAGGTCGCTCAGCGAGCTATGGAGAGGGCTATGCTCGGGGTTTCTCTGCGTGATAAACTTAGAAATAAGGATTTCCACAGTAGAACCAAAGTGACCGATATAGCCCAATAGTAAGTTGAAGTGGCAATGAGCCGGCCATAAAGCTCGAAGAACTAACAACCGTTGGGGAAAAAAGGTTCTCGAGTGGCAGTCTCGTACCGGTAGGCGTAGTGTAGGGGCGTACCGCCACTAGATAGAGTGACGGCCTGGTAAGACATGCAGGAAGTCAGTGGATGCAGGTGGCTCAGGACCGTGCTTTGTGGCACACCTTGAGGGAGGCCTATGTTCAGCAGTGGACTTGTGAAGGGCTGTAATGATGATGATGATGATGGCGGGGGAAGTTAATTGTTAGAAAAGTGTAGATTACTGTTTCTTTCTGAAATATTAGTTACATTTTATATGAATTAAATTAGAATTGGATAAATCAAACTAAGGATATTCCTAAAAGTAGTAGGATTAAAAAAATAGTAAAATAATTAAAGAAAACACCGAGCAAAGACGACCACTCTGCAGCTATACTATGGTTGTATTACGAATGGGTCGACTCGACCGGGGAAGGGCTACGCTCTCACAGAATACTATCATAAAATGGTAGTTCAATGCTGCTGTGTTGCGAACTGGAGACGTGTTTGACTGGAAACGAGGCATTCCATCTTAGTCCTGGCTGGCTACGCATCTGCATTTTAATTCTTAATCAAGGATAAATGTAGATGTCTATGGGTCACAGCATCCACTTACCAGGTGGACTGTGTGATCGTTTGTCACCCACATCCTATATAAAAAAAAATAAAACTTAAGTTAAATTAGCAACGAATGATTTCTTATATTTACTTTACACTTTTGCGGATTTTGTCTCATTTAATTTACTTAATTTTAATTCTTGAGATTTCGGATGCTTTGCAGCACTCATGGTCAGAGGGAGGAGGGGGGGAGGGAGCTAATTGACGTCCCCATGTCAAACTTAACCCGATGTTCAGTTTTTAATTATTACTATTGGTCCATTCTACACAGAATAAAGTACTGTGTTCTGAAGATTTGCAGTGGTATGCTTGGTAAAAGTAGTTTAATTCAACAAATCACAACTTTTAAATGATAATGACACTGTATGACTATCTGCATAACAAATAAGTGCACCTTAAATACCTTAACCTTTACTCTGAACCGACTAGCGACATCTGGTGAATGTTAGGTTATTAGTCTTCGTTCCCATAATCGACGATAGTTGATGCATAAATAGTTGGTTAGTTTGATCTGCACAGAAGCCGTCGTAGCTCAGATGGTTAGCGCTCGCTGTAGTTCACAGTACGCGAGCAAACCGGGTTCGATTCCCGCCGGCACCAATGAAATTGTTAATTGCAATTTTAAGTGCTGATTTACCACGTGCTCGGCGGTG